GGAGTTATTAACACCAGGAAGAACTCTACATCATAAATTAATGCTCACTAGATTACATCAGTTTCTAATTTTCAGCTAATACATGGAGAAGGACATAGGCCATTGCCTAAATCAATTACTTCTTTCTCTCCAAAGGCAGTCACTGATCTCCAAAACATTTCTAAGGTAGTTGGAGTTTTGGACTTTGGTTTGGCAGTTTTCTCAACCATCAGAGTCAAGATATGTGCTTAACATATTAATGTTGCATGTTAGATTTTTAACCTTTTATTAAATATTTATACATATGGTCTTCAACAAACTGTTTACCATGGGCTACTTCTTTTAATGCTTTAATGTTAAGCACGCACAGCAGAAATAGTATTTCAAGTGTGCACTGAATGAGTTACTATAAAGTCAAGGAGGGGATGAAGAGGGCGGTGGTAAAGAACAGGTGTTGATAAAGGAGAAGAAGGAAATTCACTGTGTATTGTTCTCACGGTGGTACGAGCACACATATATTCATAGATGAGCTTTTTCAGGCATACTGTAAAAATATTCCCTAAAGATGGTTACAGTGTCATAAGTAGTTTCCAGAAGACACAATCCTGCTCTCTGGTGAAAACCAGTGATTCCTTTTTGTACTAAATTTGGAGATCTGATGGGTGTCTTCCCATGATCCCCCAAGTTTTAAGTTTCTAGCTCAAGGCTCAAAGTGCTTCCTGGCTGAGCAAGAGCTTAGTATTTTCTATAGGAAGCTAACTCTCAGACACACAGACGGTGAAGTCTCATGATGTCATGTATAGAACATTTCCTCTGCCACTCAGAGGTCAGTCATGCCTAGAACCTCTCAGGTCAGTCAAAAAAGATTCATCTTCAGTTTCTCTAAACCCAGACATGGCATAGTTATACCCTTCTTCTCAAGGCGCAGAGGCCTCTGCTTATCTGTTGTTTGTTTGATAGCACAAACTTTCACCCCATAGTCACATGGTATATTTTTACATTGTGCACAATTGTTAGTATCTTGTCCACAGAAGAGAGATAACATGATCACTTGGCTAACATAGTCTGGTGGTTTGAAAGAAAATGGCCTCCCAAAAGACTGGCACTATTATGAGGTGTAGCCTTGTTGGAGGAAGTGTGTCACTGGGAGGAGGGGTTTTGGAGGTCTCTTTTGCTCAAGCATCCCTTAACGTGACAGTCAATAAACTTCCTGTTGCCTGCCTATCAAGATTTAAGGTCTCTAGATCCAGTGCCACATCTGCCTACATGCCACCATGCTCCTCATGCTGATGATAATGAATTGAACTTCTGAAACTTTAAGTGAGCCACCTTAATTAAATGTTTTCCTTGTAAGAGTTGTTGTGGCCATGGTGTCTCTTCACAGCAAAAAAGAACCCCTAACTTAGCCACATGGAAATGAGATTCATTGTCTTCTTTTCCCAAGTAAGATTCCTCTATTCCTACATGCCAAGTTTTCTTGGGAGTTGGATACTTGAAAATGCTTGCAACTTGGTAGAGATGTTTACATCTAAAAACATACCGGGTCCACAAATCATGTTATACACCTAGCATGACGTAAACAATAGCTACTTTCTAGTTTTTAAAAATTGGTACATATTAATTATCTATGTTCCTGGGTTTGCAAAATTTTTCCCTCAAGTATAACATGTAGATATTTTATATATACATATATTTTAAACATTACTGTATATATTATATATATGACTTTATGTAACATTATAAAATCTAGTATCCACAAATGATAGAAAATATGAAATTTTGGTTTTTCTGAATCTGACTATCTGTATCATCTATATCTATATCTAGTGATAGTCTCAAAATACAGCATTTTCAGCAACTTATACAAATTTGTTCATTATAGTTGAAAATTCTATTATTCTTGTGATATTTTCTTCATTTATCTGTTGATATGCAACTCAATTGATATAATAACCTGGCTGTTCTGAATAGTGCTATAATAAACATGGGTGTACAGATACCCCTATTGTATACTGACTATTGACTTAGAATCCTTTGGCTGTCTACCCAGAAATTAATTAGCTGGGTCTAGACTAGTTTTGCTTGTCAATTCTTGAGGAGTCTTTACATTTTCCATAGTGTTGGAATGCATTTACATTTCTATTAGTGGATATACAGGGGTATTTTTCCTCACCATAATTTGTTGATAGTCATTTTCTTTATAATAACTACCCTGAAAGACAGGACAGCAAATCCTCAGGTAACTTTGACTTTTTATTGCCCTAATGGATGCGGATGTTAAATTTATCAAATATAAAATTTAATTATTCTCATTCTTTGTGTTTAGAATGTTTTTCTGCTTGGCTGTAATTTCAAGAAACATCCTTTTAGGGAAGGGCAGAGTTAAACTGATTTGTTTTTGCATGATATTTCATGCAGGGAAAATGCTAACAGAATGTGACAGTGTTTTACTTCACTAAGCAAACACGAAGACTCGACTGATGCTGACATTTTTCCTGTACATATGATACAAATGATTGTGTTTTCAGCAAATATCAGGTAACTTGGCAATGTTGACTTCACCTTAGAAGGAGAAAAACAATAGTGCTAATAGCCCACCATCTCGGACAAACCAGACCAACCCCCACAGTTTCAGAATCATATCAGATTAGAGCTGTTCATTCCTCTAAATTACATCCTTGTGGTTTGCTGCTGACCTGTTACGTTTTACTGGTGAAATTTTGTGTGTATATAAGTGTGTATGCATGTAAGTGTGCACTAAAAAGCAAAAGATAGAGCAATGTGCTACAATAATACTTTTAATGCTCTGCACATGCAATTCCTACCAGGAAAAATCATTTTTTTGTAGTTATGCATGATTTAATTGGGTGGAGTTTTGTGGGTTTGCTGTTTTGGATTTTGTTTTGTGTTTTGAAATATGGTTTATCAACTGCTCTCAACACAATTCACAATGACTAGATTCTGAAACGTATTCACTGAATGGACCCATGTGTCTGCTGGATCTGACTAACGTGATACAGCACCATTCAAAACAACTGTTTTGTATTTTAGTTCTAGGACTTTTGACTCAACATACTTTTTTTGATGTTCCTTCCATATTTTCTCCATTTGTATTGTGGAGAGTGATGGTATTTACATTTTAAATTACCAATCCAATCAATAGTTTCTACAAAATGATATGGCAGAATATAAAGAAGGTAGGTGAAGATACTTCCTGTCTCTTGGCACAGAGTTTGGATATTTCATCACACTTTATGCTGCTCTATTTTCCTCTTAGGAAAGACTGCCTTCTCTTGTCAGATTGTAGGTGTTATTTGATGCTTGGAAATAAATTAATGTAAACTCATTTGCACACACAGTCTTTATAAGTTCACAGGGTCAGTGGCACTTAATATCCTTAACCAGTGTTCTCTCTTTAGGAGCTTTCTGTCTCTAATACATACACAAGAATGCCACATAGTTGTTAAGAAAGAGAAGGCAGACCAATATGCTACTTAGTTTCATGTGTCAGCCTGGCTAAACCATAATGCTCAATTATTTAATCAAACCCTAATCTAAGTGTTGCTATGGAGGCAGTATATCAAAGTGGTGATGGCAGTAATTGGTAGATATATGCAGATGACAGATTACTCTCTCTGGATGTAGTGGGTGAGTCTCATGTAATCACTTGAGGTATTAAACAAACATGAGGCTTCCTTGGAAGAATCCTCATTCAATTCCACAGCATCAAATGCTACCTAACTTTCCAGCCCATTCATAGCCAAAATCCTACAAGTCAAAACAATTTTTATTTATTTCTGTGTGTTTAGATATAAATATGCACATAGGACTATATATGTACATATATGGTATGTAAGTGTGTGCATGTTTATGTATGTGCTTAAAATTGTGCTTATGTGTTGGTTCTGGTTTTCTAGAGAACCTTAGACAACATAGGCATTGGATAAACAGAGGAGAAGTAAGTCATGCTTAAAAAAATGAAATCCATGAAATTATAATAGAAATTGAATAAAAATAGTATAGATATTTCTTTCTATATAAATATCATGTAACAGAGCAATATTTCTCTCCAGTAAATATAATTTATATGTTAAAGAGAAACATGCACTTCCATGTTCATTACAGAGCTATTCACTTTAGCCAAGAAAAAGAATTAACCTACTAGATAACCATTACTGGATAAATGTATATATTCAATGTGGTTCATGCATACAGAGAAGCACTATTCATCCTGGAAAAGAAAAAATAGTTGTCATATGTGATAACATGGGTGGAGCAGGACATCTTTACATGAAATAAACCAGACACAGCATGACAAAGACTGCATCATTTCATGCATAGAATTTTTAAAAGTTGACTTCATAGAAGTTGAGAGCATAATACTATGTACCAGGTACTGAGAAGCATAGCTGGGAACAAGGGGTGAGGAAGGTTAATTCATGGTTACTAACTTATAATTAGACAGGATTCTATTTGTGTATCAGAGTGACTGTTGGTGACTGTAATATGTCATTTATCCAAGAAAAGCTACATACAGTAGGGGTTTATATATTTTGCATCAAAGAAAAGATAAATGTTTGAGATTGTGGATGGATATGTTTATCTAGCTGAACATTATACAGAATATACATGTATCGAGACACCACACGACACTCCATAAATATGGACATTTTATGTTGCAACTAGAAAAAAAACTTGCAAAATAATATAGCTTAAATTGTCAGCTGCTGTGCAACCATTTTAGGCAAAGCAATCCTCAAGGCTAGTCCCCGGGCCTCAGATGAAAGAAATCCAGAGTGTCAGGCAGCCTGGGCCTGTTACCGACTCCAGGATTTCAGCCTGCCAATTGAAAAGCGCCTGTTGCTCTCACGCTGCAGTGTTTCAGATAAACACGAGCCGTAAATAGACATTGCTTCACAGGAGATGATATATCGATTCTTTTTAGAAACAGAAATTGCGGTGCGTGTGGATCTAAACAAGCAAAGCAAACAATTTGGGGGCGAAAAGAAAAGGAAACTTGCTTTGAATAGCAGGAGACGACGTTTTGGCAGCTGAGCAGGGCAAGAGCTTCATGAGTCGCTCTTTAATGCTGCGCTTGGTGTTGTTCTGAGCGTAGAGGAAACCTAGAAAATACATGATCGGTTCTGTTAGTGCCAGCTGCACAGAGGGACCCACAGGCTGCAGGGGTCACCAGGCAAGCAGAGCAAGCAGGACGGGGAAACAGCCAGCTAGCTGCTCACTCAGGCAAACACAGACAGTGGGTGAGGGCTCCCAAAGTTGGTTTCCTTCTTTACCTTTTATGTAAACTTCTGACGTGGCTTTAAAGGTCCTGGTGACCAAACAAGCACAGAATGAAAGGATTTTCAGTGGATGCCAAGAGTACAATTTGGTAGCTTATGTTGGATCTCAGATCAAAAGCCTAAGAGCTTTCATTGGAAAAAGTTGGATGAAAATTTCAATATTCAAACCAAGGTTAAGGGCCTGCAATGCAATCTTCTTTTCTTTGAACACAATGCTCCCTTCTTTGATTCCAGAGGAGGTGGGGCCTCGCAGAAATCACTCACACAACAATCACCTGATAGTACCTTTGCCTTCCCTGAAAGTGAGAACAATCAATGTCCTTGACAGGCAGGATCATTAGCATGTGCTGAGGATCCGGATGTGCGGAAATCTTTCACATTTTTCACACAGTGACATTAATGAATGGAGCTTATTCAATCGAAGCCATTGCAGGGGAAGTAAGAGGTATTTCGAAAATGTTAACTCAGGATTAGAGCCTGGCGCAGCAGGCTTGCATCCATGACTTCAGGCAATTGGAGAAGACTTTACAAAAACCAGTGGTGGCTCCATAGGCAAGCCTCAAAGGGCCAGAGACAACTCGTCATGTCAGGAACTCAAGGTTTTCAATTCAACAACATCCCAGCCACTGAAAGTGCCTGAAAGCCTGTATCTGCTTGTTAATACGAATTGCTTTCTCTGAATTAGTTCGAATGCAGTCTGACCTAAAGCAACCACAAGACACTCAATCTATTTTAAAGTTAGAATTATTTATGCTGGGCACTTGGCAAATATGCCCTCTGTTCCTTTCTGCTTTATTATTCCTACCTAGGAATTCTAAGCAAGCCCTGACCCTCAACCTGGAGATCTATCTCCACCTCACCATGAGAACATACCTGCAAAAACTCTCAGGTGCAGATTTGACAAAATAAAGAGGTAAATACGCAAAGCAGATCGGATTATCTTCCTGATTAAGAGCCCTCTTAAAATGTTGTCTGGGACCAAGGTCCCTTGATCTGCTCATGACCCAGCCCTGCATCAATCGGTGGCCCTTTCATCCCCTCTCCTCCTCACTGCATAGCTTGTTGAGCACTGGCAAGACCATCCTTTTTGACAAAGCATCCTCTCAGGCTATCCACTTAGCTAGTGTGAACACCCTTCTCACCAACATCCTCAGAGTAGGCTGAGGGTGTGGCATGAAAGAAAAGATCAATAAATTCACATTGGACGTAGAAAGACCACTACCAATTTCTATGTTTTCAGTCTGAATTATATACCATACGTGTCAGGTTGCTTCCTCCTTCTCTGTTTCTGGAAGAACCCTTTCACCTAGGCACCCTCTCCTTTGGAAATTGAGGTTTTAGGGTCTTTCATTTCCTCCTCAGGCAGGCATTCTGTATTTCTTTCTCTGCTATTTCCTTTCTGCCACAGTGAGGTTTGTACCACAGCCTCCTTCATAGTCAGCCCTTGTTTACCAATGGTTGGCATCTCTATACCCTTTTGCCTTTGAAATTGGACAGACAATTTCCTCTCACAAATTGTCCCTTCCTGTTTCCTGCTGGCCTGTTGGGGTGAGACTTCTTGCTTGTTTGCTTCAACAACCCTCGTGGTCCAGCGTCTCATCTAACCAAACCCTGTCATAGATAAGAGACAAGTTGAGGAGGAAGCTCCTAATAGCCTTGGAGACAGGTATCAACCCCAAGGGAGCTTCTATCCCAGCTCCGTTGCTTCAGATTTGATTTCTTGACATCTAGCCAGACTGTAATTCTGTCAGAAATTCAAGAAATGTTTCCTAGTTGCTTGATTTCCTGTTTGTTTCGTGAAGCCTGGTATTTACCATCTCAGGCTTTATGTGAGGAGGGGAGATTCCTCCTCCCCAAATATGCACAACTGTTAATGCTACCCTATTGCCCTACCTCTTATTTGGTAAGGTCAACAAGTTGCCGCTTTCAGTTAAACTGTAGAAGTCCCTGTTTTTTACTATTTCATTCTAAGAGGTCTTGTAGAGATCATTATACTTTAGGAATCTATGTTTTCTTCATATAACATTTTAAAATGTCTCTTTCGTGAATATATTTTTATATTTTGTATATGAGTATGACTCATATTAGAAAGACTCCTCTCCCCCCCCCCCGCCACAGGCATGTATTTTGATTGATTGGTCCTTAGCTGATGGTGTTACTTGGGTGGATTCTGAAATATTCAGAGGGTGGTGCCTAACTGGAGCCTAACTGGAAGACATAAGTAACTGGACCTATGCCTTACTTGCCTACTTTCTGTTTCTCTCTGCTTCCTGATCTGCCTTCAGATGATGTTTCTACCATAGGAGTGTACCAGCATGATCTAACCCGCTCCACCCACCATGCCTACCCACCATGATGCTATGAAACCGTGATGTCAAATAATCTATTCTCTTCTAAATTATTTCCATCAGGTACTTTGGTTTCAGTGAAGTAAAAGTAACTACGAAAATCTATTAGAGAGCAAGGTGTGGTCATAGTATATTCTCTTCCTTGTGTCATCCCTCTTCCTTTCCTTCTCTGATGTTGGGTCATGCTACACTTTTCTCCTTTAAATATACTGGTTTAGTGTATGTGAATGGAAGCAATCAATCAGTCTCAGGACACATCTCAGCACAGACCAAGGGTTACTTAGTTACTTAATCTCTATGTATTTCAGATTTTCTCTTTAGGAAAAAGAGCTAAGCAAAATGTCTGCTCCAACGAGTTGTGGCTATTGGGTGGAATAACGTATGAAATTTTGACCCCATGAAGGTTCGGAACCCAGTTTATGTTAGATCTTATTTTTTCTTCTTTATGTGAATATACCACATTACTTCCAGCCCCAGAGCCTTTGAATATATTGTTATCTGCATATAAACTTTAGAATTTTGTTTCTCTTGATCTTTGTCTTGTTCATGTCCACTCCCCCTTGTAATTTGACTTTGATTCCCGAGGAATGCCTAATACATAAAGCATAAAGCATGAAGAATTGTTACATGTGAAACATGTAGTTTCCCTTCACTTTCTTTTATACCAGAATAATTAACTACACAATCACATATTTAAAATATATTTTCCTAATGTAATATAGTATTGAAGAATGTTGTATCTAGTGGTCAATGAATATTATTAAGTGTGCTGTCACTATAAACATTCATATAGCTGAATAAATAATATAAAGCAAACTATTTCAAGCATAGAAAACAAACAATATAGAATTTTGATGCTTAAGAGAGGAGAAACTGAAGAGGTGACTCTGTAAGGGTTCTTCCTATCTTGTGGCATGATCCCCACAGGCTTTATAAAGATGAAGTTCAAGCTCACTGAGCTGAGATCCAGACATGAATGAGGCTTTTGTAAAAGCTGGAATTTTTAAGGAAATGGAGAAGTGATTTTTGTGCCTAGTGAGGAATGTTTTGGAACCCTGTGTGAGGATTATGTAGTACATTTTCAAATAAACTTTGGAAAATGCATGCTCAAAACGAGGTGTCAATGCATCAATGCATGTGAGACAGAAACTGCTTCAGGGCTAAGAATAAGATGATAACAGAAGTCGCAAGTGCTCAGCAGTATAGAAGATCTGGCACATTCACACACACATACATACACACACACACACACACACACACACACACACACACACACACACACCCTTGAAGGAAATGAAGCAAAAGAAAAGGCATCAACTGTATTGAAGTTCTTTGCTCTGTCATTCTTTATGAGCCCAGTAAGACTACATGGAGGGAGAATAATTTCCCAGAGTGAAGGTATTTCTCATGATAACCCAAATTGACCTATCTGGACAGGAAATTAACTTTAGGCTGCACTATGGAATATATTCAGGAATAATATAAATTCCTATTTAAAGATAATCACTGCAACCCAAACTTTCTATATCATGAGGTAAGAATGCCGGTGATTCTTTGAGACATCACCTGGCATGCAACAAAGGTGGCAATGCCTACCCCATAGTGAAGAGAAATCAAATGAATATAAACAGACCTAAGGCGGGCACACATATTGGAACTGATAATAAACGGTTTCAAAGAAAAAGGTGGCTTTAATATTGGGAACTTTTCAGAAACAGGATTAAAGCAACACAAAATAGCCAGAGGTGCAAAGTGAAATGTCTAAAATAAAGAGATTCTAAGAGTCAAAGGACCAGGGAGTCTCCTATAAGACGGTGCCTCCTAAAATTAGCTGCCTAAATCAGACCTGAACAATGGCAATATCAATAGGCATGCTTATGTAGAAGAGTAAAGAATCTTATACGATCCATTCTCTAGACAAAGAACTGCAGCAACTAATGACAGCTGAAAGAGGGAGAATTACTCTCTCCCAGCGATAAGCCTCCTAACTGGGTATTCCGTCAAACTAGTCAGCCCTGAAATTGTATACACACAAACAACAAAAATAGATTCAACAGCCTTTATTTATAAATTTGGGCTGGTGTGGGTATGTGTGAGTGTGTGCGCGTGCATATGTGTGTGTGAGGTATATGTGTGTGTGTAAAATAAATAAAGCAAAAAGAGGCCATCAATTTGAAACAATGTGAAGGGGCATGAAAAAAGTTGGAGTGAGGAGACCTAGGAGGACCTAAAAGGAAAGGTGAGGGAGAAAATAGAACTATGTTAACTTAACTTAACTATGTTTAACTTAATGGTAGGAATTTCTTTTATTTAGTAATGTACTAACATGGAAAATTGCTAATGAATGGATTATGAAGCTTAAGCAAATAAGAAAAGAAATAAACCATCAACTTTGAATAATAAAATTTGATAATTAATGAGAGTCTTGAGACCTGTACAAAATATCAAGACTATAAAACTGACTGGAGCGTAAGA